AACATTATATTTGAATAAATGACTTCAAGATTGAGAAGAATTCCTTTAGCGTTGCAAAGTTGTCAATTGTGGTGTGTGGTCTGCACTTGACGCCCTTCTCGTTTTCCGAAATAGTGGGTATGATCACTATGGCTCACATGGTTCAGTTTCCATTTTCTTCCACTGATTTTCGGCCATCTCGTTCGCGCTTTGATTTTTTTCTTCGCAAATTTGTGCGAGTTGTTTGCTGCACGTCGAATAATAACCCAGCGACTCAAGCTATGTGTCAAAAGTAAACGCTGCGAATCTGGGATCGTCAAAATTCGTGACACTCAGACCAGGCTGTCCAAATCCTCAATTTTTTGTTCCCTTCCCTATATGTGCAAGGACCGCTCGCCGCTCCACTGGAAACGCGCTGCTCCAATCTACGAAAACCAGGCTCACCCTCATGGTTGACCGCTCGTTGTTGCAAGTCTAAAAGTAGGGGACGGGGATTGTACTAAGCTCATTAAATGAGTGTGGGCTCGTAAAAGGAGTCAGCACTATTGGAAGTCGTGGAGATACCCTATAAATCATCAATGGAAGTGCGAGCCATGGTACGAAAGACTAGACTTTCAAACGCCTCTGCGAATTCAGAGCACGAGCACGGGCGTGGCGCACCAAATCAAAAATTTGTTTTAGTGCACAACGCTCCAAATTCGATTGACCATTTAACGAAATATTGCGTAGGAGAAATTTTAACGTTTCTGGACCAAGCGAAATGCAGAAAAGTGCAAATATTTGAGGATTAATTTGTCGAAGACCCACGGCGCCAACTTCCCACATACCCATCAACACACAGAATTTTCTGGACTGCCATATTTTTTAAATCCTCTCCATTTGGGATAACGAGATCAGCGTCGAGTGCAGACACACACCACAAGTGACGACGGCCAAGAAAAAGTGGCTTTTCTTTTCTTTTCTTGGCCGTCGTCACTTGTGGTGTGTGGTCTGCACTCGACGCTCTTCTCTTTTTCCGAAGTAGAATATATTAGCCGTTTTAAAAGATAGTGCACGGAAGGGAACATACCAATTGTTGTGATGACTGTTGTGGCGAAGAAAATACTGTTTGGATAGGTCCACAGTAAACCCTCTCCTTTTGTCTTGTTCATTAGATGATGTTCGTTGATGAACTGATTTCTATACGATACGAATATATTCTTGACTAATTGTTCGAAATATTCCTGATTTATTGAATTAAATGCCTCTCGTGAAATTCGATTGTCGACATCCTGAAAACGTACAACCGATCAGTAGCCGAACTACTTTTGACACAACGGAAAATACACAAATACTGAATATTACTATCAGGTATGTGGCAAAAGTACCCTCGTTCCGCACGCGGCAAGATTCGCGGCAATTTGTCAGCGCTATTGTCAGCGCTACTCAGAACGCGCCGATTTTCTGTTCTTTTCTTCGCTACCCTGCCTAAGCATAGTTGTAACCGACGTCGACCGCGTTCGATGCTGAGTAAAACGTTGTTCTCTTCCGCCGACGCTCTAGGCCTTCGCGGCAAGGTTGTTGTCGTGTCACAAAAGGCCATAGTTTGCAGACGGATATAGGCAAGGTCAACCGTCAGTTATTTCAATTCTGAGAATTTGGCATCCCGTCCCAAATGCCTCCAAAGAAAACCCAGTACCACCTACCATCACCAACATCTGTTTTGGGAAGGTCCCCCAATACCGCCCCATCCCCCTACCGACCACTACCCTCACCGTAATGGCCAGCTCTACAGTACTTCCTTCTGAGGCCAGCCAGCGCATTCCAATCCCGCACACCCGCCTACTTTTTCCTCCGAAGCAGCAAACAGCTTCAAGAGGGGGGAGGGGTTGCGGGAACCCCGTCAAAGGCGAAACCTAAACCACCACCGCGATTCCTTCATCTTCCAATACGACCCCTCTTTTCAACCTGTTGACCTTCGTCGACTCCGAATAAGGCCTCGCTCCAAAGAACACAATCACGACTCCCTGTTGAGAACTGAGCAATGCAAGTTTGACCCTGGATACAGGCAACGTTTGACTCAACATCGTATGCAGTAGGACGCCGCATATGTGGGAGAGCGCAGGAAGAACAATTTCGAAGTTTCGAAAAATTTTGTAGCGCGCGGGGGTCCCATATACTTCTGCCTATACTATAATAATTTCCAGGCTAAAAGTTGACATCAGCTTCTTTAGCGTACAAGAACTTCAGCATATTGTGTGCTTACCGCTTAATTCCGTTACAGCAGTTCTGAGAAGAGGCCCAAAGTTTGCTCTGCACATGGGCACTACACGCGGACAAAACTATGACAAAAAAATTGGGTAATTATTTGTTCATGAAACAGTAACGAGATTGGATCCTTAACAAATAACCCTCAAATCTCACAGATAATCCCTCTTTCAGTAGACTTTTTGTGTCCCCACTCTCGCCCTCCATTTCTACTCCTCCTCCTTTTTTGGCTCGACAACGGTCTCCTAACAGTTTTCCTGAGCCTCATTAAAAATAACAAAACCCGAAAAACTATAACGTCAAAAAATAGAGACAGCAAATAAATAAGCAACGATTATAACATGTATTTCTGATAGTAATGACTTTGTCCATATCAGACGGACTTTGAGACACCACGCTCTTGAAAATCGGAACAAAAAAGAAAAAATGATAACGTAGCACGGTAAATAACCTGCGTTATATTCCAAATGTGATCTTGAAAGTCGTCTCGTAATCCAAAAATAGTTCGCAGTTCGTAATCACGCTGCTGCAATGCATGGGAATTAGTGAGAATTGCCTTTGGCTCGTTTTTATCAACAACTGCTTACTTTGTTTCTCGTCTACTTGGAAACTCCGAAACTAAACTACTGCGCTCAAGCGAAGAAACCAAGTCAAAATCCTCGTTGACTCACCACTAGTTCATTTGGGCCTTCAATCGCATGAAAAATCGTGGCTCCTATGAGGAGGTAGGCGAAAAGTAGACACACTAATCCGACGTGAGGTAATATTCGTTTCGCGTACTTAAAAAGGCAGATTAGTATTAGAAAGCTTCATCATCTGTTACGATATGCCTTACTATATCTCCCTAATTAAGAAAGAAAAACCTTTATAAACAAAATAATTAAAATGGTTCGTTTCGCTCCTTCCTCAGACGAACCTTATTATTTCGTCAATCCCCGGAGCTCATCAGTGAGTTGGGATTGGCGAAATAAAGACACAGGGGAAAGACGAATAAACCTTGAGTAGACGTACAAAATTATCATGCAGAGGAGCATGCAATGAAATTAATTGTATATTTACTAAAGTGATTATAAATTGACAAGTATATGTAAAACTTTTATGAAATTAAAAAGGTGGAAATGTTTGTAGCTGTCCACTGAATTAAGCATAAGCTATTGATTGAGTATTCCTTTAACTAGTTTATTAACATTTTTATAATTATTAGCCATTGAGAATTTATAGCATATAAACTTATTTTTATAAAATACACTTAACTATATTAGATATGTATAATAAAGTCCTAAGACATGTTGACTGTTAAATATCGTCTTATTTTTGCATACTCGGATCAGTACTCTAAATATGTATGGCAGATTATTCTCCACGTGACTTTTACATGAGTACGTAAGATTTCTATTTTTGATGTGAGCAAAAGTATATCTTCTACTGCTCTGAGTACTCTAAGGTTAATCCCCTTTCATTATCCCTATAGAGATATTTTACAAGGGAAACTGCAAAGAACATGCACGTCTCAATGAAGTGAAGTGGCACTGGTTGATATTACGGCTTTCAGTCTTGCTCAGGGTCAGTCCTATCGTTGCTACTTTTCGAAAAGTTTTTACGACCCCCCTATCACAATGTTTCTACTGAGCCCCCCCGATATCCCCCCTTTCCGACCAATTTTTACCCCAAATTACCGTCAAGCGGAGAGGGGGTAAGGGGTGAGGGTATATACTTTACCCTAAAAACCGCAAAAATTCCCATATATATATACGCGCGCTGAAACGGCAAATTTTCTCCCGCGCCGCTCCCCACTCATCACATGCAACTTCTTACAACCGAAGCAAGTACGACCCCCCTCTACAAACTCATCAAAATACGACCCCCCGTTGCTACTTGTAGCAACATAGGGTTGACCCTGGTCTTGCTACATCTGCTCGGACATAAGGGTGTCCATCAACTGTTCAAAACGATCGTTCCACACAGCGACCTGCTCATTAGTCCTGAATTGTCTACAACTTTTACTGCAGACAGAGACCGCTCCAGGTCGACGCACTATTTTGAAAAACTATTCACTTTTCCACTGAAAGGTTCATGTGAACTATAGCATCTGCTGGCAAAACCGAGTCGCTCTCTTCTCGAAGAAAAGGCCGAAATGAGTTCGCTAATCAATCTACTAATATTAAAGAATCTCCCAATTCTATGATCAACGGTTACACAAGAATTTGCTGTGGCCACTGGGAGGTTTTCAGCCAGTACTGTTAGAACACGGTCAGCAGAAGAGGAATGTTCTCCACTATTGTTGAAGGAACTGTGATGGATCCTGTTTTAAATTTTTAGAAGGTGCAAAGTACGCTTGCTTCATTCGGCGATTATGACTCCTACATAGAGGCTCAGCTTTGGGATAATCACTAATTTGCGATACATTCCGACGCTCCCCATCCGAAACAACGTAGTGCGCCGTGTGATAGAAGACCATCAATTTAGGGGAGAGCCTAAACAGGGAGGGGGAAGAGGTGGGCATTGCGGTGCAGCGCTTTCGAACGTGTGCATTTAACTCATGAAATCCTTCGGAGTCCTTCAGAGTTTTGCTAACGGCTTGATTGCTACGTCATTTCTTCGAATTTTTTGTGCTGTACAGGTTTTGGGCTGATGGCTGGCGGGGAGGGGGACATGTTGATGCAGGTGGTTGTGTTACTGTAAATAGAAGACAGTATATCGAAACGTGTAATATATGCGGCGAAGATTTCAAGCAGTTACCAAAAAAACAAGAAAAAGGTCAACTAAGTAGAAAATAAGAAAAAAAAACGCAGAAAAAGCGTTCAAATAAGGCTTTTGCCTAGCACAAGGAAGCTGATCTGTGGTTTAGGAATGTCTTGTTTTGTAACTGATAATCGTCTGAAAGAAGGAGGCGGATGTTATTTTTGAAAGCTCTATCAGGCATTATAGCACTTGTCATGTTTGTTCCGTTAGTATCTAACGCCCATCCTCCCCCTCTCCCTCTACTTGAGCGGAACTTTCTACCTCTTCAAAGCTTCTTCATTCATCGAATCTGCGGCGAAATGAAATCGGAAAGCTGCATGCGGTAATTGAGGTCATCGACAGCCGTGAAGATTATGTTATCAAAGGCAAACCCCGGGATTAGCAAACTCGTGGGAAGGATACCGCGAGGGAAATTGTAAGGTCCCTACCTACCTAGATCACTCCAGCTTCGCCGCAAAAGTTGCGCGGTTAGGGCGCTAATCCTTACGGGCCTGCAACCATCGACCCCGTTGCAACGCTTCCCACCCACCTCGATATCGGCGTGCTCTCTCGAACGGCGTGATCTCTCGCGTGTTTTGTCTTCTTTGACCGCCCTGCCTCGCCATCGTTCCACATCCGACCTTTTTGAAGGTTAAGGCCTTAATTTCAGCGATCCCAAAGATTTCTCTAGCTTTCCTTTCCACTTTCAGGCCGTCCCGCAGCTCAGTCATCATTACGAAGCGCTCTTATCACCGGTTTTATCCCGGGGCTTGCCTTTAAATGAAATCTTATCACATTCTGAAAACCGTTGGCAGAAATTTCCTTTCTCATTACAGGCTTTGGCAATTCCACTCAAGCCTTCAAGTAGAGGCGTTGATTCAAGATTACTAATATTTTGTAGATAATAGTTTATAGAGCTGCTGCGTCATAAACAGCTTCCAAAAACACTCTGTCAACCTCGTCCTTTATAAGAGTCTACAGCAATCTACCAGCGGTATTCTGGGTTAGCGGAAGTAGTTGAAACAAATGATATTCGTGAAAGTTGAAGGGGTCGTTGGTTGGGAAGTGAGATTTTTGACGAGTTTTTAAGGCAATTCTGACGATAACCTCACGAAGGAGTATGAAAGGCAATTTGAACTACAGTTTCTAAGCTACATCCATCCATCACCACCATTCCCTCCATTCTTCCTCTTCCCCACACACTACCCACCCCCCCCCACTCCCCACCAGATCGTCTGCCACTTTAGAAGACAAGGTGAGCGTAGCTGTAGTGTGTCAACTGGTCTCAGAAACAGAACAGGGGATAGATTGCGGGTCGCTTGTATCGAGAAACCCTGAGATGGGCGGGGGAGAGAAGGGGGCCTCATAAAATTTTTGACATCGTTGGAACGTTAGGGACCCTGCTTGGAATATTCAATTTCTATCCATCTTAGTAGATAAGTAATAATTCAAAAACCCCATGCACTTATATTTACAATTGTTTTACATCTTTTTTTGTAGCCCTTCAGAACTCTCACTGGATTAGCTTAATTTCAAGCACTTTTTCTCTCTAGGCGGATTACTATCTATGGAATATTTCTCGATTCTCAAGACTCCATGAAAAACACGACTACTGTACAAGTGTAGTTCACATTATGGTGAGGGTAAAAACGCGGCAAATCTCCTGAGTTATCGACCAACTTTGTAGTAGGACTTCTTAGAATTCATCGAAGAAGGCCAACTCGGCGCTATTCATCAATAACATACGTTGTTTTGGTGTTGACTAGAGGGCATAAATAGTCGATCTGCCCACTAAAGAAGTATCGAATCGAGCCGTTTAGCCGTCTCTTCATCACATTTGTGCAATTCTTTCTTTTCAGTCGGCTTAAGCAATGTAAATCAATTTTTTTCTAAAAATTGCAAGGTTTGATTATTATTGAATTAAATTAAATTATTAAGGTTTTTCTTTTTGCCTCTTTTGTTCATTATAGATTTACGCATGGATATTCAAAAAAAGGGAAACAATACAGCATTAAGCGTCGATCGAACCCTTATCGGAATGCGCCGCTCACTCCGCTTTCATTCAAAATCGTAGTAGCATTGGAATGCGATTTTACTTATACACAACCTTACGGGAACCAGCGAATGTAAATATCAGCTTTATTTTGTTTGTCTCCAGGCTAGTCTAGTACCGTTCGACCGACGAAGATATAGAAGAGTTAGTTGACATGGATACGATCTGGGATTCGATCTGATCTGATCTTGTCTGCCTTTACACCACTTGCAGCTGCAGAAATATGTAATATCATGAGCGATTATTGGGCTCATTCAAAAAAGGTGTAAAAACCCGCAGTTCCTCATGGAACCTTTTTTTCTTTCTTATGAGGTGATCGAAACCTCATTGGGTTTTTGTATTATGAGAAACTTGATCCACTGTACACTTCAGACTTCAACTAGTAGATTTTGCCGACGGTCTACCCTACTGAACTGAGCTGAGTTCCTTTCCTTAGCCATCGTCACTCGACTGTACAAACGACATTGGTGAATATTAAAGTTTCTCTTGGCACCGCCGACGACTGCCGATGGCTTGTTGGACACTACGTATCTAAGTCACTGCTGCAAGCCATCGGTTCCTATCAACGTACCCTCCCTTCAAAAAGCGAGAAAGTGTCGGGTGCAGACCATACACCACAAGTGACGACGGCCTCCACAAAATGTAAATGTTTTCTGCCAATGAAATGATTAGCCTGTTGCAGTTGTATTCTATCAGTTGTCACTAATTACAACTATCATTTACCAAAAATCAGCTATCACTATGAACCACTACTAACCAGATTTACTTGGAGGCCGTCGTCAGTTGTGGTGTTGGTCTGCACCACACAATTTCTGGCTTTTGTCTACTTTATTATGAAAGGAATCTAAATATAAGTATAGACCGACAAGAATGCTTCCATTATTTCATTCCAACAGATTTCTAGCTCGAGTTCACCCATTGGACACTTAGCCGATCCAGGATTGTCATGAGGTGCTAGGCAATCAACTTAAGATAAGAGCCTGTGTACTTTTGAAATGTTTGAGACTGAATATAGAATCCCTTCACCTCAATTTTCTGTAATCAGCCACTTTTTCAAACACAAAATCCAAAAAATTAGAGTGATACTGTAGGAAGCGATGAAAACGAAGAAAAACTGCCTAGAAAAATTCAAACCTCTCTTTTTTGAATTTCAGTCTAATATGATTTTCGAGTTAGACTCTATCTCCGTGATATTAACAAAACGTTACCGTGATGTATTTCCGCTCTCTGGTCTCCATATCAGTTTCGTCGTCCGAGATCGGAGGCCCAGACGCTGTGAGATCCATCTCCATCGGAATCTCATTGAGCGACGAGCATGAGCTCTCCGAGCCCTGTATTGGAGAAAATAATAAAATACGGATTCGTTCGGATTAGCTACATATACGATTGGTTTATTTGTCTCCTCCTCCTTACTTCGCGGCTTTTTGTCACTTACTATTGCTCCTAGTCTCTCCATTTTCTTTCCCGAAATCACTTTTTTTTGTTGAAATATCATGAATAACAAATAACAGCCTATCAAATTGAATATTCTAGTGTCCAAAACAAATTCCAAATGAAAGCAATAGAAAATGTGGGCCATTTTTGTGCTAAAAACATCAAGGCCCAAAATAATGTACCACGATTCTCAAAAAAGGGCTCAAAAACAGCGCAGCGGATTCCACTCAGGAATAACACGTTGACGACCATCGTGGTATGCGTCATCCTTCTGCAGAATTTTTCACATAAATTCTCCAATAAATTCATCATTTTTGATGAGTATGGACCTCGATATGTCAGTAATCACGTGTTTGTTTGATTGTGTTTTCGCTATGTCTTTATGTTGCTATTTTAGACAAGGATCAAGGCTTGGACTACCACATAACAAAATTGTAACCCACAAAGAACTCCTGAGGTTCATTCAGAATTCGCAGTTTCTCAAAATAACATTTTCAGAAATTGTAAAACAGGGCAATTGTAGAGCTCTAGAAGAAGGTCGACTTCTCAAAAAAAAGAACAGTGTATTCAAGAAATTTAGTTGAGCACAAAGTAAGCAAAATCCTTCTTAGGTGTGCATGTTTTCGGTTGCTATATTTTGGTTGAATATCCGAGCAGTTAGAAACTCAATTGATTCATAGCGCCCGATAAAGATGGTGAGTTTTTTGCCTCGCTTATAACTAGATAATTTTCGGACGATTTTCAAATATTTTAGATGCTTTGACAACCTAAAAATACACAGTGGTAGTTCTCGCATGGTTTTGCAAGTGGCCAAAATACATGGCTACTTCTCCAAGGTGCAATCTCCAGCTATCAGGACCTTCTACCCAAAGCAACCAGCTGAATAGGGTCGTATTTGCAATCCATTCTTTTCCAAAAAAATTAATCCACCTATTTCATTAGTCTGTTGTTCACTCCTTTCAGTAATAAGGTGGTCCACCTTAGCGAAAACACTTCCAAACCTCATTCAGACTTTTCTTACCTCTTTCCCCTATTTTGTTGTTTAACACCATTACTTTACTACTTCAGATTACACGGCTGGTGGCTAGTGGATGCGCAGCTATTTTTCTACAGGGTCAAACACATTCGAATTTTCTCGCGAAAAATTATTTGTTAGCAGATGTCAAGTCCAATGCTTAACGAACTCACCATATCGAACTTGTCCTCATTTTGGGCGTACATGCCAAATCCTGTGGATTATTGGAATTTATAGAGATTCATGGAGTTGTTGATCGACTTCAGTTCAGATCGATGAGATGGCACGTAGTTCGTGGTAGTTTGACTATAGCTCGTTGTCGTCAACTGACAGCTGTCCGTTGAGCATTCAGCATTGGTCAGGTGTAAGCGAAAAGAAATCACCACAGATATGACATGATGATGTAACATTTCGATGGTTTCCCTTTGAAGACATGAATTTCGTAGCCGTTTTTGCAAAGGTTCAAAGTTTCTTGATCCAGTTCCTGAGCTATTGATCAAAAATTTCAAGAAATTGTCAAAATGGAATACCCAAATGTTTTTAGCAAAATTCAGAAGCTTTTCAAAGTACATATTCCTCGAAATTCTAGCTAACCTGTTCTACATATGTACATACCATGTATGTATGTTATGTATGTCATATGTTGACTGCAATGCTTTCCCTGGTCACACTGTTGAATCAAATCTTGTGCAGTAGAATGGAATTACTATTTATGGCGCTATTTGTCATTTGACAAAACTAAGTGTAACTTATACCTCCCGAACAAAGTCTACAAAGTGCTTAGGCTGGTGTCAGACTTTGCGAATTGATTGAATCGCGGGGGTAGAGTGTTGCACAAGCGATTTCAACCCTGCATCAGTGGTTCGGACGATGTACCAACGATTTGACACTGTTTGAAAGTGGTGGTAACCCCTCTCCTTCGCATGTTTACTCTCACCACTTTTCCAGGCTAAGGGAGCGAGAGGACGTGAAAGCCGAGGAATGTGGCTAGAGTCAACGCGAGAAAGAGCGAGTCACCTTCGAACACTGTTGAGTCGCTGGTATATCGTTCGGACCGCTAGTATATCTTTTGAACCGCGTGTGCATAGTTCGAACCGCTGGCGCATAGTTCGACTCACTGGGGTACTCAAGCCGTTGGCGCATCGCTCGTACCTCGCGATTCGCTAGCGAACCATGCAAATTTAACACCGGGCTCAGGGGAAGTGATAAAGGTACGGTAAGTCCCTCTTAAGGTGGAATGATGTGTTTTCGTCAGGCCAAGCTTTTGTTCATGGGCTCATCGTGAAGAGTAAGACCAAAGAAAGGAAACTAGAAAGGGGTTAGTGGGAATAGATGACCTCCGAAAATGATCATTTCAATGTGAAACAGAGCGATTCTTACCTGTATGGAAGAAGTGTAAGAAGTAAGAACAACTAGACGAGCTCGTAGGAAACACGCCTGATTTCGAGAAGATGGCAGTATATTTGTTTTGTCTCTTTATATGCTGAGCTAGCAAGTCGTAGGAGAGAAACGGCTACTATTATAGCCATGCATTCAACCTTCTATTTTTCGAATGCATTTGAATACAAGGCGTATTCCAAAAAATTCCGAAATCATCGAAATCTTGACTGGATACATATCTATTCTTTCCTGTGGTTTGTCGCGAAGAAAAAAATCCGTGTGATATATTTCTCTACCATTGCAAAAAGTTGCTGTTTTTTTGCTGTTGTAAAGTGTGCTTAAGCTGCAGGACCCACTCCCCTCCATTCTTATGTCTCATCCCTAGCTAGCGTATTTTTGGGGAAGGGTTGAAAGGGTTCAGAATAAAGTTTTAGTAAAGAAGTAGCGGATAAGAAATAACCTCTGCCTTAGTCAAATTTCCTTGTAACCACTTCATGGCCCTTTTGCTGTTCTACTGGCCTGAAACCGGTACCAGAAATACATTGAGCTGATTTTTGTGATCGTTTGTACCCCTCCCCTATATCACTAGATTACATTTCGACCAATGACCTCTACGTGATGGAGGTAGGCCTACGCCTAACATTAGTAAGATGACACAGAAAATGGTTACAGTAATGTACGTGACCGCTTAAAGTACGGTCCAGGTGGCAAGATTGGCTTCTTTCAGAAATGATGAGTTCTCTCAACAGGTCGTGTCAGTCTTACATTCCCTACCCCAAGAGTTAAGGGTAAAAGGTAGGGTTAAGGCCCTCACTCCCATCGTTTAAAGTCAAGTTTAAACATACTTCTCATTAGTGACAAAATACTTGGAGAATGAAGTTTTTTTAGATTATTTTTTGAATCATTCTGAAATCTGCCTTGAAGTCATGGCGCGGTGTTGCCTCGGAAGTTTGGATTGTTCTTTAGCATGGCCACAACCTCAGGTGTCAGATGCAAAGTGAAATTGAAACCTTATAGTTTTTGAGTTTTCACGACACCGTCGAGCTTTAACCAGCAGGAAGATGCTGCACTGTGCTGACAGCTTATCTCATCAATAATCTCCAGGCATCGTCCCCTGCTCTCCGGATTGCACCTCATTTTACATCCTCGTATCTCCTTAGCATTTGCACCTAATGAAAACTTCTTTACCCCCAAGGCTTACGTCGTTAGAGCCAAACCTACTACAGCCATTGAACTCATCCACATTGCTTTGAATTGTTTGCCATTCAAAAATATCGTAATCCGGGGTGTCTCTTAAATGGCCAGTTATTCGAATTCCTCTAATTCCAGGTAAGTCTCCGAGAATTGTATTGCTTCCACTCTCCGAACTTGCTCGTTGTCGTAGACGCACGTCCAGCAAAAAAATTCACACGCTAAGAAGAAATATACGGTCATGGAAGGAAACAGGTATGGATTTTATAAAACATGCTTAAGTTCTTGCTCTCCTGTCACGGAGGCTAGCAGATGAACCCTGCCAACTGGAATTTTATCTAGACCATTGTTCGCCAGGATACGCTCAGCCTGAAACTACTTTCCGTGTGTGCTAGGCAGTGTTCTGTACGGTATTATAATGCGGGAGCGCTGAATTAGTGGTACGGGCTCGCAGGCACAAAGTCGCTAGATCGGCTCTTTGGCAAGTTGCCCTTTAGCTTTCATCAGCACCTAGCTGGAGAGACTTTTGACTCGTTGCCTTATCAACGCTTGGCAAGAGTGCTTAAAGGCAGCGATTACGATAAGAGGGAGCGCATCGGGAAGCATATGCACCACACGAATCAGTTACTTGGCTGCCAGGGAAGCGAGATGTGGCGCTTTCACGACGAAAGGTGCGCTGGTTGCTGAGCAGGACTTCGAAAGCGCTCCGCCCACTAGTTTAGTTGGTGATTTGGACGAGCTGCGTTGCCAGCAGCGGCACAACTGGAGCATCTCGATTAAAGCGTGGTTTGGCATGGTGCCATCCAAACGCGTTGCGGTGAACTCGTTCATACGTCCACTTTCTGAGCTGTTACCTGTTCATGAGTGAAAACCAACGGCCAAAAAGGGGTCCCGTTTTGCGTTTTCTTGACGGATTTCTCTGCTTTTTTCGCTACTGGCGTACCATTGAGCACCACCACGTCACACTAAACCCTTCTTGAATTTATCGTAATCGCTGCCTTTAAATACATTGCGTATCGCGCGCTCCAACATCTGGCACACGATTTCACGAAAAAGGGCTTCGTTTTGTCTGATTTTTTTGGCATTTTTTAATGTCGCTAAATTGTTTTCAGCCAATTTCATAGCCGAGAAACAATGCATGTCATCACAGATAAAACTGTTGATGGACTAATGTGCCTTGCTGTGTGCTTACAAGTCGTATGTGCGACCCCTGGTTGAATCCAATACCACGGTATTCAACACCACAAGGAGGAAGCATGTATATGCGCTTGAGAAGGTTCAGAACAACTTTACTCGTAAACTGCTTATTCGAATTGGTGGTCTTTGCCCATTTGTACTCCAAAATACGCTTAGGAATCAGTTTGTAGGAACTTTTGGACTTTAGAAATGAGGCGCAGTGTTTTCGATCTTTGTTTGGCTCATAAGCTGGTTCAGGGCGGGTGGAGTTACAGGTTCTTTCGATGTCAAGTTAACATATTCGAGAACAAGGGGAGGCTCGATGAAGATCTCGTTGACACGGCCTAAAACTAACTTGCGGGCAAGAAGCTTCACCTTTAGGGTCGCCGGGTAGCGACTAGGTGAAGTATGAAAAATCTACCTGTCACTCTATCGCTGGCGCCGCGTAGTCAATTTGCTGGTAGGCAATGGCGGTTCTTTGTGTTTTCTGAGACTGATTTACACCTATTTCATAATTAGTATCGAGATTTGATTGTGTGTAGGGGTGAAACTCCAGTTCGGGGGGGCCACTCCATTTTTTCTCCAATACTCAAGATAAGGATTAGAGGGCTCACGACACGTAATCGACTCATTTAAAGTAGACTTCTGATAAATATTGGTGTAATGGGTGAGAAACCCTGAAACGTTTTCACATTTCCGCCTGCCATGACCCAAGGGAACGGGTCCTTATCAAAAGTACGCTCGAAATGAGTCGTTCACTTATTATCTTATCCGTAGTGTTCGATAGCCCAAAGAACTGCTCTCTAGTACTACGGATAAGATAGCAATGGAGTGCCCCCCCCCCCCGAACTGGAGTTTCACCGTGTGTAGGTTTCTGTAAAACAATTTCGTGTCATTGTTACTTTTCTCACGTGCGCCTTCCAAACACGTAAAAAACTTAAAGGCAGTGACCATGATAGGTTCAAGAAGGCTTGTAGGAGTTTGGTGGCGCTCAATGTTGCGCCAATGGCGAAAAAGGCGGAGAAATTCGTCAAGAAATCGCAAAACGAGACCCCTTTTTAAGACCTCGGTCGTATGGAAGAGTTCATCGCAGCGCATTTGGTGACAGCATGCCAATCCATGCCCTTTCAGTTGTGCCGCTGCTGGCAACGCAGCTCGTCCAAATCACCAACTAAACTAGTGGGCGGATCGCTTTTGGGGGCGGAGTGCTTTCGAAGTCCTGCTCAGCAACCAGCGCACCTTTCGTCGTGAAGCGCCACACCTCGCTTCCTTGGCAGCCAAGTAACTGCTTCGTGTGGTGCATATGCTTCCCCGATGCGCTCCCTCCCTTATCGTAATCGCTGCCTTTAAACTCATACTTGTACTAATAATCGTTCATCTTTGAAAAACATAAAAAGATGTGAAGATACGCGTAAAACGGGCGGTCCGCAATGTGTTAATTGCGAGCAGTTGAGAACAG